GGATCCACTTCATTATATCATCTTAGTCACTATTTGACGGTCTAGCGGGTTTGCGTTGCGAGCTCCTGGGCAAAGCGGAACTTAATTTTTCCGTTACTAGATCGGCGAAACACATACTTTCACTTAGAGTAATTTAATGCCGACTGGTCGGATCCTAAAAACAGTATTGCATGGCTACCTCAATCACATAAGTAGGCAAGTTCATAGTCAAAACGACGTGGTTGCACACATTAGATCTTATCGTATTTTCAATCTTTGGCAGCGAATATCATATGTTGATGGGTTTAGGGTATCATTCCTGCATGGGCACTGCGTGACTATCAGTCTATGAAGGCTCGGGTAACTAGCCGATTGATACTGGCCACGGTGCTACGGCGGTTGTGGTCGTTATTCCGAAGTGCTCTACTGTGGTCTACTTCTTTCGGAGAATGTTGACTCAGCTCTGCGTGTATGGTGATGAAGGATTCCAGTGGCACTCATGGATATTTGTCATACTAATTGCCCTTACGTAAAGTCGTATTTCGATTTTACCGTGTCGCACCCTTCTCGTCAGCCAAGGAACGAAGGGAAGCTACTCTTTTCCTTCTTACCTTGTGAATTTAATATCAAGGCGACAAGGCAAGTTTGACTTCACATGTGTGGGGTAACGACGTCTCCGTACGACTTCCTGCATCAAATCGAACGAGTGGAAGTAACAAAGGGATGTCATTTCAAAAGATGCCATGATTTATCTGACTAAACCTTTTATCCCCAGGATTCCGATCGGACCTCAGAGACTGACTTAGTTGATAATGCTCAGTTGAGTTGGAGAAAAATGTGATATTCGAACCATCTACTTAATAAGGTTCTGTGTGACGCTGTTTCTTGAGGGGAATTTGGACTACTGGGACATAAAATGCAGCTGAATACAGTACTCCTTTGTTTTCCGTTGGGTTAGGTAGATCAGAGCTGAACAGAACGAAGATCCAAACAAAGCAGTCATTCCATGAGATACTGCCGCCGACTGCTGGGCAAAGTATTACGGGCGAGGTGTCTTTTGAGAAAGTGCAGAAACCAGTTTCGAAGCCTGAAGTACTCCTGTAAAAGTAGCGGTTAACCCAGGGGCAGAGCAACTTCTAGACTGACCCTTCTTCTCAAAGACAACCTAAATGCATTAGTGCTCGCTTAAAGTTCTGCGGCCGGTCCACCGCCAAAATCGTGTGCGCAGGATCTGTTTGGCTTTTGTTTGACGCAGTATACACTTATAAATGCAACACATAAACGGATGGCAAAATGGGTAAAATCTTAAGTTTGTCACCCATCTTAGATAACCCTAGCCCCTAGTACATCTTGTGGTTATCTTTAGTTTTATTAGTCTTACCATAGTTTACTTTAGTTTTTAGTTTATTAATTTTATTTTTGTTAGATACTGCCAGGGTTCAATAAATATACTGAAATGGCTACTATATACTAAACTAAAGTAGGTTAAACTTAGCAAAACTAGCTAGTTAAACAATCTAGACTTATACCCACGGCCCGTAAGACAGAACTCTGGGGCTAGAGGTCTTTAAGGTGAGCGACCAACTTAAATTCCACCGCAGGCTGTCCTACCGCGCTGCATTACCACTCAACGAAATGAGAAATGGCGTAGGACCCTATCGCACAGATGGTACTTCAGAGTCACAATCCCTTGTTTGCGTTGATCCATTCCATTCCGCCTTTCGCATCCCACCTCCACCACATCTCCTTTTTTATCCTATTCCCGCTGGAATTTCTAGGTGCGGGAATACTGAAGGGCTCCTAATTCCGATCCCCCAGCCATTGCTTCCAGACCTTGTAATTCAGTATGAAAAGCTTTCACGTGCCGAATGTGCGTGCCATCTGTTTTGACGTTGATTCAACAGTCTGCACAAATGATGGTCTTGATGAATTGGGACGGTACATGGGCAAGGCTGAGTTGATTGCTGCCATGTAAGTGTTCTTGCCTGTCTAACACTCACTCATCACTGATTAGCACGAATAAAGCTATGGATGGAGTGTTAGACTTGCCAGATGCTTTGGATCAACGTTTGGATGCCCTACAATTGACGAAGACCAAGATTGCGAGCTTTAAACAGAAAGTTTCCATCTCATTAACGCCGGGAATCAGGTGAGAATCCTTATCCTCCGGTCCTTGACTATCACAATTTTTTGCGAGTCTACACAAATGAGTTGCTCTTGCGCATTTTACCAATGTGCATTTCAGCTGCATTAATACTCCTTTAACTGGTTTAAGGGCTTGATCATTTCACGTAAACGCGCACAATACTGACCGCGAGGACAGAGTTATTTCGTGGTTTATTTGGTGTGGAACCCATAGGTCGTCCTAATTGAGACGATTTTTCCCGATATTACTGATTTCTGTATATCCTTGTGTCTCTTCAGCATTGTGATAAATCCATGCATTCTGCATCTCTCACTGTTGTTGTGGCACCAGGCGTCAACGGCAAGAGAAGGTTGCTTTTTGCATCGATCACGCGATTGGCGTAGTATATGTGCAGCCTCTGCTGTCCAGAGAGCAGACTATCAATTTCTTCGTAGTTCTCGTCGACCCTAGCTGGGATTAGGCTGTTTATGCGACCGTGGAAGTCCTAGACAGTGATATTAATACCGTTTCGCAGTTGGCACCCTTGTATTAACGGTGACACTGTCCTTCGGAACCATCATCCTTCCAAGTAGCGAACCAGGGGATTGCTAAGATTTGGGTGGTGAGCATACATTCAACGGAACAGTACTTAGCTTACCTGGTGGTCGCTTACCGTGTGTACGTCTGTGTTGTTCGCCTAATCGTCTCATCTTGAAGAAGCCAAGGCCGCGGTTCGTCCAGTCGCCGGCATCGCAGATTACCTGTGTCACCAATGCGTCTTGGCAGTATCGCTTCCAGACGATAACGTAGTCCAGTTGTTGTCAAGTGCGCGAGTGCGATTCACTCAAGTTTCATTCTCCCGCGTTGGAGGACGGTGGAAAGTGTGGGTCAGAAGGAGACGGTGTTCCGTATAGACCTGTAGGAAGTGGTTATTGTTACCACAGACGTCAATCTCATGGAGATCCTGAACTCCCTCCCAGTCAGCGTCCTCTATCCCCACGCGGACACTGAAATCACCAAGGAAGGGAAGTTTGTTCACCTTGGGTGCAGTCGCCGGGATGGTCTACAGGTCTACGCAGAATTTCTTCAGAGCTGTGGAGGGAGGAGCTGATGCCATTGGCGAATTTGGTTCCCCAAAGCGGCAGGCAGAGACATTGGATGGTCGTTGAGGTCTTGCAGCTGGTAGGACAGTCGGTCCAAGAAGTCGCTTCTGATGGCAATGGCACAACCAAAATACCACTTCATCTTTGAGTGGCCGTTCCCTACGGTGTAGCCGGCAGCCACCTCCGTCTGACTCACTTCGCACGATTAGATCTTACTGAGAATAGTGGCGTTCATCTTGTGGTAGTACTGTACTCCTTTCCACTCCCTTGCCCAGTGTTTTTTTAATAAAGTTGCGAACGTTTTCGCGCGTCAGTTTCAGTAAAGTCACTAGTAGCGTGTTTGATGTGGACGAGAGTCGTTCTTCGCCGCAGAAAAGTCACCTAATCGGGCCAAAGCCATTTCCTGGACTCTCACAATACGAAAATATTCAGTTCGGCTTTTCTAGTGCAATCGACGTTATATGAGTTTCGTGTGTGATGCTTTTAGCAAAGTTCATCGAACTGGCAACCCTCTGGAACTCCTCTTGTCGTTGGCATGAAAACGATAATATTATCGGCCTTGCATTCCCTTGGTATACCACCGTTGACGTTAAAGAGCACTTTATGCGGCCCATGAACCATGACGTGTAGCTTTACTGGGTGTCAAATAAGGTTCTTATCTTCTGTCGCTTCTGTCTGATTGAGAACT